TGTCATTTGAACTCACTAATAATTTTCCGCACAAGTAAAAAACTATGACACAGATCACACATTAACTAATAAAGACTAACTTTCAAAATTGAGGAATGCTAGGTCTGAGGTCAAAATAATTTGACCTCCGACATAATTCCTATTTGAGAAGTAGAACAGGTGCTAGGAAATTTGGTTTAATATGTTGTGCTAGGCAATTCTCCTCTCTAGAAATCTATCTTGCAGTTTTAGAAATCTACCATTTGTCCATGCATTGAATATCGCTGCCAGATCTGGCGGCGTACATATCTAGAGATTCTTGTCAAAATGCAAAGAAGAATCTGCAATGTTATTGGTCTTGCTCTAGTATCTCGTCTTCAGTTAATTTCCAATCGGCGTTGCACATCTTTAACGTGCCTTTTCTATGAATATTTCCATGTTAATTCTTCTGGTGAAAATTCCTCTTTGCTACCACAATTCATCCTCATGAAATGTAATACTAGACTTGCGGTTAGGTCTCATCATTTTGCTATTGAAACGGCGAGATATTACGGTAAGTTCTATTGTCAGACTTTATTCTGTTGCACTTCTCAGCTGTGGAAATATCCTCCAGTTTCTTGTTTTTCTTCCAAATTACGATCATTAAAAGTTAAATGAAAATGTCAATCGACATCTATCACCACAAATACTGTGTTTTATTTTTATTATGCTTTTTATGCTCTAGAGTTTCGCCAGGTGCTTCCACTCTCGGAGAGGACGGGGAAGTAATAGACAGCGGCCTGAGAAAGCGGAGGGCCGAGTTCGAATTTCATTCGAGTTCATTATATTCACTTGCGTGCTAAAACCATTGGGAAAGTTATGCATCCATCTCTTCTTCTCGCCACCCACCCAAGATATAAGTAACAAGCAAGACAGACTGGAGCCTATAGCCTTAGGTGGTAATCTAATTTAAATCCACCCTGGAGAAAGTTGGACCCCGTCAGGCTATTTGGTCAGGAAAAAAACCACTGCTACTTTAGCAGTAGTGCGCATCCAAACTTAATGGATTAAAGTTTAAAAAAAAAAACTTCTATATTCCTCGATCTTTAATAATGTTTCTCTTTTTTCTTATTCATTCTCGCTCGGTAAAATCTTCTGTCTTAGTGGCTTTACTCCCTTGCATGGAGTGATATGATTTTAAAAGATATATTATGAATATACTAAGCTCTACTCCGTCATTAATTGGAGAAATCTATTTCCATTTATAATAATGGTGTCTTTTTTTTTAATACCCATGGTACTGGAAAGCGTCTAGCAAGTTTTCATTAATAATTTGGATGTGTTTTTATCTTTCGTCTTCTTTACGCACAAGTCGATGTTTTATTAGGTTTCTGCAACAACTGTCAACAAAATGTAGCATGCTTGTTCAATTTTAGCTTAAGGCTACTTTTTTTGCGAAGTGAAAACAAACAATATCGCAGAGCAATGAAATGAACATTAACGCTTCCGCTGCTGTAGACGTACATATATCTCTTATATTCGCTAGCGTCGATATATATATATATATATATATATATATATATATATATATATATATATTATTCTTTTATACCTTATGTTTTTATCGATACAAACTTGCCTGCAAGATCCAAATTACGGAGAACCAATATTATTTATGAATTCAAATGTCCCTTAAGGAACCGCATTCTTGATCAAACCAAATTCATGAATAATTATATTGGTCATACCACTACATACATATCAAGAAGGCTCACATTCACATTACATCACTCGGTTCATAGCTCAATTAGGCCTCATTTAAATACACACGGAAACTAAAAGTATAATACCTACACCCACATGTAAATAGATTAAAAAATAAAAAAGAATCCAATAATTCTTGATACATACAAAAATCTACAGATCCAGTAAGAATTAGAAATAAAAAAATATACATCCGTGATAATTAGATATTATTTTTGTTCTGTTCGTATAAGTTCTTTTACTTTTCTGGATATGAAGTGTTTAAGAATTTTTCGAATGCTTTGCATGTCCAAACGTATTCGCCTATTCTTCGAGCCATTATCAGGGATGTTTTTATTTCTAATTCTTCCAGGATGTGTAGATGTTTATGGATGTGTCTAGAGTGATGGGATTCTTTTTTTTCTCTTTTCCAAACACGATCAGCTCGTCCTGGGCAAGACATTAAACTACATTCGCGTCCTGGGTAAGACGATAAACTACATCCAGCTGGTGTTCCCAGGTCTAGTTAACTATTACCAGTAATACTTTTTGGAAAAAAATTATGACCAGCAATACAATTTCGAAAGAAAAATATTACTAGAAACAGATTTTTGACAAAACAAAATATTACCAGCAATAAAAAAAATGTTGTCGGCATTAAATAACCAATTGAGATTGATATGCCGTAAAACAAAATAGACCAAACCAATCTAAACCAAAAAATACATATTCTATTCATAGGAATCTATCCTAAAAATGTTGTCGGCATTAAATGACCCATTGAGGTCGATATGCCGTAAAACAAAATAAACCAAACCAATCTATATTCTATTGATACATATTTTATTGATACATATTCTATTGATACGAATGTATCCTAAAAATGTTGTCGGCATTAAATAACCCATTGAGGTTGATATGCCGTAAAACAAAATAAACCAAACCAATCTAAAGCAAAGAATACATATTCTATTCATACGAATCTATCCTAAAAATGTTGTCGGCATTAAATAACCCATTGAGGTTTATATGCCGTAAAACAAAATTAACCAAACCAATCTAAACCAAAGAATACATATTCTATTCATACGAATCTATCCTAAAAATGTTGTCGGTATTATATAACCCATTGAGGTTGATATACCGTAAAACAAAATAAACCAAACCAAACCAAAAACGACCAGCGTTTTCATAGTTGAATTTACTGAGCATTTTCTTTTTCTTTTTATTATCAATACTTCCATTATTTTTAAAATATTTACATGTGGATGTAGCTATTATCCTTGTATTTTCTACGAGTAAGTTTCGGATGAATTTTGGTAGTTTTCCGTGTGTATTTAAATGAGACCTAATTGAGCTATGGACCGAATGATGGTATGTCCAATATAATTATACATGAATTTGGTTTGATCAAGAAAGCGATTCCTTAAGAGACATTTGAATTCATAAATAACATTGTTTCTCTGTAGTTTGGATCTTGCAGGTGAGTTATGTATCGGTAAAAAATAACGTATAAACAGAATATATATATATATATATATATATATATATATATATATATCTCAACGCTCTGCAATATTGTTTGTTTTCACTTCGCAAAAAAGTAGCCTTAAGCTAAAATTGAACAAGCATGCTACATTTTGTTGACAGTTGTTGCAGAAACCTAATAAAACATCGACATATGCGTAAAGAAGAAGAAAGATAAAAAACACTTCCAAATTATTAATGAGAATCTTGCTACAAGCCTGCCAGTATCATGGGTATTAAAAAAAATCAAGATACCATTATTACAACTGCAAATAGATTTCTTCAATTGTTGACGGAGTAGAGCTTAGTATATTCATAATTTTTAAAATCTTATCACCCCATTCAAAGGAGTAAAGCCACTAAGACAGAAGGGTTGACCGTGTGAGGATGAATAAGAAAAAACCGAAACATTATTAGAGAGCGAGAAATATAAAAGAAGTGGAACCAAGAAAACAGTAGATAACGATTGGCATTGCATTTACATTTTTGGAGATCAAATTTGGCTGGAAATCATGAAGCATGAAGAAATCTCCACAAGCGAGAAAGTCCAACAAAGAAGCAGTGATCATTGAAATTACGGTTACATGTAGCCAATTGAACTGTGAATTGATGAGACCTTACAGCCAATCGAGTACTGCGTTTAATTTCATAAAGTTTACGTACATTAGCGAAGTGTTTATCCGAACAGAATGAAATTATTTATAGAAAAGGCGCAGGGGAACTACATTGCGACTGTGAGAAAGTAACGGGAGCCGAGATGACAGATCAGGACCAATATCATTACACATTCTTCTTTGCATTTTATTAAGAATATCTAAGATCACAGGGCCATGGTTGTCTTATAGATTCTTGAGAGAAAAAGTGTCTAGCACTTATGTGTAGGTAAATCTAATCAGCGTGGCAATTGAAATCAGCAATATATTTTCATGCTATTACACTTGGGAAAGGCATGAACACACCTCTTGCGCTTACTACTATCAGTAAATTAAAAGAAGTAAACAACGCTTTTTAGTTTGGAGACGACAGCAGTTAATAATTCCACTGACTTTCCATGGAGTTATAGCAATTCGTCAATAATAATAAAAGGAGTAGATATGATCGCTTATTCCCAGTTGGCCCTTGCATCTTAGTGACATTATCGCCTTGCTTGGGGTGAAATGAATAGAAAAAATATAGAGTAGTAGTTAAAAGAATTTTTACATGACAAAATCTAAAGCAGGATCCCTAATGTAATCGATACTGACTTTAGCATCTCAACTTCAGTCACTTTCACACTGACGTGACGTAACTTCCCTCTGTATTTTCGACAAACATTTTCATGGCAACCTTTCTGTCAAGCTTTTTTCTCTGGTGCACCGAATACATGAATTTAAACGTGCGACTTGATTGGCACTTAGGTCCCACCTATTTACTGTTGAATTACCTAAATGCAACCGCCACTTCTACTCCAAAAGTTCCTTTTCTCGCACTTCCCGCTTGTGGAAGTTCTTTCCGTTTACTTGCTACCCCTTTAACTAAAATGTTTAAAAATTTAAATGCAACATCAATCGACATCTTCTGTCTTCTTGAATCCCGTTCATCTTTTGCCTATTCCTCAATCTTCCCTATTCCGAGTCTTCTCTTTTACTTTCTCTCCCTGTACACTACCCCGGGTACTAGTGACATTCCTGCTTTGCTTGGGGTGAAATGATAAGAATAAAATGAAATTGGAACTCGGCTCTCCGATTACCAATTCCGAACCAATCTCCATTACACTAACCGCACATCCACGCTTCCAGCACGTGGTATTGCTAAAGGTTTACCCATCTAGGTACTGGCTAGGCTCGACGTTGCTTAACCTCGGTGTTCGTATGGGAACGAGTGTTTCAATGTGATGTGGTCATAAGTGACTACAAGGAAAAGAGCTTCTTTTTTTTATTTTCTCGCAATTATGCCTGCGGAACTTCCTTCCGTTTACTTGCTGATAACTTGTTATACCAGAACGTACCTATTTCTATTGTAAATAGACTCACCCACAGATAATAAGTAGTAGTAGTGGCAGTCGCCAGTGAAGCTCAGTGAGTTGTGAGAGTCAGTCGATGTCGGACATTAAACTATGAGCCCCACAACTAGATTGCTGCGTCATTAATTATTATTTCAAGTTCCTAACGTTTTGTACGTCGAACCTAATTTAGGACCGACTTAGTGAAATACAAGCCTCCACTGTGAAAACTACTCTACAATATAACTATAATGTTAAAAGATTTAAATGCAACGTCAATCGCCATTTTTGTAATCTGGAATCCTGTTCATCTTTTGTCATTTCCTTAATGCTCCCTATTCTTTGTCTTCGCCTTCGCTTTCACTACCTGGCAACCCCTGCGTACCAGCACCATTCTCGCTTTGCTTGGAGTCAAATGATTAAAAAATGAGTCTGTGTAGCTTATCTAACCACTAAGCATTACTTTATATGGCTTCTTTAATGAAAGATATATCAGTACTATTTTTCGACTGTCTGTTTTATTCATTTTATCTTCTTTACAGATTTATTATGAGAACTTTAACACATTGTCGACATAGAATACAAAAACACACTCTCAGTCAAACAAAAAAGAAAAGAAAAAATTACTAATATCCCAAAAGAGGCTTATATAGGAGCGTCTTTTTAAAAAATATTTAATTTCATGTAACTACACATTTCCATTTTGTTTATCACCTGACTTGATAAAGACAAATGACGAAACGCTTCGGGAAGGACTAAATACAATTTTCCGACTATTTTACTCATATATATATATATATATATATATATGTTGTGTCTGTGTATTTAGCAGCATTTTTTCATTCATACATGTTCCATTAAATAATATAGATAAATGTTGTCTATTTATTTTATGTAAATTCTTTTCATAACGTCTCATAAGCTTAATAACATTATCATTAAACGAAGAAAGAAAATCACAATTTTAATCCAATCTAAGCTTTCGGCTTACATAATACATTATCAAAGATGACAATTACAGTACAATATATTAAGCAATACACGGACAAGGAAGTGGTGATAGTCTGTTTCTGTTTACACGAATGATTTCCAAGCAACGATAAACACATGCATATAAGTCGGCTTCCTATACTTAATACTTCTCGAATTCACTCTAGCGTGGTCATGTGTGACGTCATGAGCTTCGGTGTGATTTTCGCTTCCAGCGTCTTATAGACACGTGTTTATCGTTGCTTAAGTCAGAGCGAATAATTTAAGTTAAATGAAAAACAGACCACTTTAAGGCTCCATTGTAATAATTTATTTCACCAGAGAATTTTATTTTTCTCTGGATCTTCAGACTTCACTTTCAAAGGTGGAACGAAAAATGAATTTAAAATTTACACTTTTCACGGGTAGTATTAAGCTTATATAAGCTGAATTAGAGGGTGATGAGGAATGATGTGACAGACGTGGTCGAGTTTAGAGAGGGAAGAGAGAGTTTCAAATTTATCTTTATATATCTTTTTAATGCAATACGTAATATTGAGGAAGGAGGGTGCAAGGATCAGGCATTAACCTATTTAATCGGTCAACTCAACGGAAATGATATGGGGAAAAGGAAAAAAGAAGAGGGGAAAAGAAAAAAGGGGGTGGTAAAGAGATAATATATATATATATATATATATTTGGTTGGATATACGTGAGTTTGTGACCCTGGGTTTCACGCTTTAGCGATCGTCAGACAAGTACCGCGCATATAATATATAAATAATTATACATATATATTTTTTTATATTTATATACACTTTTCATATATATATATATATATATATATATATATATATATATATATATTACAGTACGGCATGTTTGATGACTTACTTTTACTATATTGTTTTTATCTTTGAACTCAGTCTCTCTGGAAATTCGGGTGTTGTCACGGGTAAAATCCCGAAACGAGAAATCAAGATGTCCTCTTTTGAATTGCAGTCGGTTTCGTTCGATTTACTTACGCACAAATACCTCTGGGAAAGATATAAATACATGGGTTATATATTATAACATATCTCTGAAAAAATAACTGTGATATAAAAATGAATGTAATATTCACTCGCAAAAATAAAGGTATATACTTACAATCCGATATATTTTCCGGCTTTAAATGTGTGACAAATTGTTGATAAGCCTTAAAAAAATAAATCAATGATTCGATCAACAGCTTAGCCTTTACTACAGTGTATTGTATTGAAAGCAAAATGGCGACCCCATGTAATTTCACTGTCAGCCTCTTCATGGTCATTGGTAAAACTTTTTTTTCACTGAGTAAATTCTCGGTAATTGGGAGGATAAGATGATTGTAATAGAATAATTTACTGAAACCTGACCTTTGCCGGCCTTTGTGCAAAGTTTCTCGACCAAGGAGAGGAGGGAGTCAACTGAAATTGAAAGAAACAGAAAGAAAAATGAGTTGCAGGGGTTTTTATAGCCAAAGGTCGTCTCCAATTTACCCGACACAATTTGGCGGTCAACTTATTTCTAATTTCACCCGGCTCGAGTAGCCATTGGTTACAAAAATCACATTTATCAAAACAATTTATTGTAGTAGACAAACTCGATCTCGTCGAAATTAGAAATGTTGACCACCAAAATTTGTCGGGTAAATCGGAGACGGCTTTTGGCAATAAAATTCCCTGCAATAAGACCATCGCCAGTAGTAGCAGACACGACCACCAGAAGAATAGGGAGACCAAAGAAACATTTAAAAATCTGGCCGAGCGGTCGCAAAAAAAAAAATCGTTCCTCAAAGAAGTCTTGACAACCAAAATGTCATTTTCACGACAGAAATAAGTCTTATTTCCACCCCGACTAGTGTAACAAAACAGAGAACGGGTACTATTCTCAAAAGAACGCTCTACGTTGAAGACTCTGAACTCTGACGGCACGAACAGATTCTGTCACGAACTTCGACAACTCACATCAAATCACAAGAACTAATAAGAACATTCTCCTTTTAGGTAAATATGCCCCCTTTAACTGGATTCGACCTCACTAAAATTCTTTTATTGTACGTACGTCCTTCCTTGTAATTTCCGTTGTTTTGTATACGCTGGCATTTCTATTTTGATATGTCATGTTATTTGGCTGATTTGATTGTAAATTTGATCTTTTTTTCCCACAACTAATATTGAGCCTTATTTTAGAAAAAAAATTAATTATCCAGGAATATATTTATCCGTTTTTCCGGGCGCACAAACCACCAAATTTGTGCATCCCTAATACTTAATAAAATTTGCTTTTATTTTATGAGTAGATGGCGATTGACATTGCATTTAAATTTTTGCAGATTAAAGTTGGTTGGAAAGCATGGAGCTGCAAAGAAGTTCCACAAGCGAGAATCGCAAGAGAATAAACGGTAAAGTGTAGAAGTTACGGTAAATTGATGAGAATCTCGCTGCTAGTCTAGTATTGCACTTAAATTAATACAGATAAAACCAAATAATGAAATGCGATGACATGCTTTCTCCACCACTATGGGCGTCTGTGTGTGTGTGTGTGTGTGTGTGTGTGTGTGTGTGTGTGTGTGTGTGTGTGTGTGTGTGTGTGTGTTTAATGTGTGAATTTGTTTTTGATTTTCGGTTCAAATGAAAATTTATTCGCCTTTCATCTAAATAAGAATATTTATTAGTCTACCGTATAATGAATTTATGCAAGAGCATTATCAGGAAAAAAGAACTCGTCATGTCCTTTGCTTAATGTTATAACATCATCACATACACCAAAAAGAACAACAAAAAAAGATTATAAAAGAAAAACAAAAAATTCACTCTGAGATCAGTGCTTAGAACGTGTAAGGACTTTTTTTTTCTGAGACCGGGTTTTTTTTAAAAATGCGAACATTAACAGCAATTTAAAACCTGATATTCTCTCGATTATTCTGCAACAAGATCACATTGAGATATTCACTAACCGCCCCACGTAGTCGGATGCGGTACACGGCCAAGATTATAGTGGGGTATTCGAGTCTGTAGGCTCGGGCAAAAATTCTCCGTAGACCCTGTAAAAAAAAAAAAAAACGGGGTCGGGTAGCTGTTTACCACCTCAAACGAGACTCTTCCCCTTGGCAGAGCCTCGTCTGGGTTCCTCTCTCCCCGGAAGAGGAGACATTGACTAGCACACTTCCGGATAGTGATCATTTTGATTTTCCAAGTGTAGCTTTGACGTGGCAAAAGGCCGGAAAACAATCTTGCTAACCATTACACCATCTCGAGGTGCGCAAGTGATTTTCCAAGCGTTGCTCAGATGTGGCACAAGGCCGAAAGTATGAGGCACCCAGTGAGGATAGAACTCCCTACTCAGTCGTAATATTTCTAGCGAGACAAGCTTGCTAACCATTACACCACCTCGAGGTGCCCAAGTGATTTTCCAAGCGTTGCTCAGATGTGGCACAAGGCCGAAAGTAAGGTGCACCCAGTGAGGATCGAACTCACTAATCAGTCGTAACTCTTTTAACAAGACATGCTTGCTAACCATTAGACCGCCTCGAGGTGCCCCAAAAAGATCACAGTGATTTTAAACCTGGTAGAGTTGTTTTGGGTTTCAAAGTAAACAAAAACCGTAGCTTTTCTTGAAGAGCACGTTCACTGCGTTAATCCTTGTAACATTACCTTCTGGCTATAACTCGTCTTGTTGGTAGTGTAAATATCAGCGTCTCAGAAATCTATAAATCTACATTCCACGCTAGATATGGATTAGAGGGATGAGAAAAATAATCTCTCTATCATTGGGCGGCAACCAGATCAGGAAAAGTAAGAGTCTGAAACCGTTGTGTCAATTGTGAAAGAGATTTCAGCGAAGGCCATACCTCTTCGAACCTCTTTGACTGGCGTTCTAGAGAATAAAAAAGAACTGTACCAAATAACA